TGATTAATAATTGTCGCGATTTTGGGAACCGTTCACTGAATATGAAGAGTGCATAACAGGATTCACTGATAACTACAGAGTCCTTATGTTTTAATAAATTCATTAAAGGGGACAACACTTGAGATGTTGTCTCAAAGTTTGGCGAATAGTATATTAAGCATTGGATTGTTAGAAGTGAATTCTTAATGAATTCGTTGTTATCAGTTGCGGCATCAGTTTGACTAGAATTACACCCAAAAATGTCACATTATTTTATATTATATACTATAAACACATTATAAAAATAGTTATTATATGTAAAAATTATTAAAATTTTTACAACACTCACCTTAATATTGAATCGATGACTGCATTGTTACTGAGGACATGTTTACGGAGTTTTGGATTACTTTCAAACGACAGACAGAATACGGAAAACAGATTAATAACCAGTTGTTTGGTTTGTATGTCTCGAGTTGTCTCATAAATGTTAACCAATTGCGGGACCAATGATGCCTTCAAAGCACTCTTAATTAGTTGTGATTTTTGGATCTTATAGTCGTTGTAGAGAATCAGTTGTAACAGCATTAGAGCACTGGTAGTCGACAACTGTTCCCAGAGTCGGGGAAAGACTTTCTCTTTAAACTCGTTTAGTTTTATAGAGTAGTCGTCTAGTAATACAAACGAGAATTAGTTTAAAAAAATAAAATCTCTGTATTTACCGTTAATATTCAATTCATGCTTCAATTCATGAAACTTTGACTCGACTTTGGCGTTACTAAAGTCATCCAGATTTGTTTGGATCTTGTCCTTATTTGACTTTATTAGACCACTGATGGGAAAGGGATCTCTTTTTATGTAAGCCATTGCTTAATTATTATATACAAATTGCTTTAGTTTTATATACGAGATTTATTTTTAGTTATTTAGCTTTATTATTAGTTGAGAAAACTCTGTCTATTAATTTTTGGTCAAAAATGGATTCTGATTCTCGTTTTTATAAGAAATATTTATAGGTGCTCTTATTCTTAATTTTGGTAGGCGTCCCCTATTCTGACGTTAACCAATCCAGATCATAGCTGTCCCACAAATTCAATGTATGATGTCATGATATTTGTATTAGAGAAATATTGATAGAAAAAAGAGGTACTGTAGTTGTCAGCCTTGCATTATTCTGTATGAAAGGATTGAGTAGTGACTGTCACTGATATAATCTTCAAGATTTTCTGTCTGCTATCCCTTTCCTCTGACCGATCTTTGGATTCTTTGGAAGGTTTTACGAAATGATTGCATACATTGTGTCTAAAATTGATCATTTAATAAATAGGCAAAGTATTTATAAGGTTTGATTCCAATAAAGAGTTTGAGGTTTGATTTGAGTATTTGAGATAATATGTTAATACAGTATCTGCACTTAAATAAGTGAGATATTGTGTTACATCTGTTTCTGTGAATCATACGGTTTTCAAAAACGTTATTCAATCATAAAAAGTTGTTTTTAAAAACATTTATAATATATCATTGACTACGTGCTGAGATGTTACCAGTGTGCACGTGTATCGATTGATATAAGAAAATTTGAATTACTGTATTATCTTTGAATAGATATTACGTGAAATGCATTATTTTATGTTTTTTAATTATTCAGTAAATTTACCGGTATAGATATATTTATATAACTTATTATTGATTAATAAAATGTGGAAATAAATTATATTTGTTATATTTATTATGAACGCAAAATAACAAAAACAAATAACTCTTAAGATTAAACTAAATTCTTTATATTCATAAAAGTATTCATATAAATTCATATTATAAGTATTTAAAAGATAGTAAAAGTATTTTATGTTAAATATTAACTTAAAGAATATTAGTTAAAAAGATGTTTATTTATTCAATTTAATAAAATCACTATTTTCAAATTGTTGTTCAACTCGAGCCTTAAGTTCGAAGTACTAAATAAAACAAACAATAGAAACACAACTTATAAATCATATTCATTCATATAATTGCATACAATATGACTTACATAACCAACGAGACTATCAACAAACATCATCCATGGTATGTCTTCAGGTATACCACCGCCACATTTGTGTGACTTACATGTGGGCACATCTGACTCTTGGTTATACATTTTGGTGACCCCTTTGACGGCACACGGCCTGCAAAGGTTGAGGTGATGGCACGAGAATATGGTGGTGTCGGCCCTCACAAACTTCTTCTGGGCGTCCATCTCTTTCTTACAGCCCAAACACTGTTCCTGTTTTACCCTGGGATTAACCTCGGGAAACGTGTACAAAACATATACGGACTGTTGCCGCTCCTGGGGTCGGGTCTCTTTGTGAAAGGCAAGCGCCAGTATCTCCTCGACCCGCCGTTCCCCTTGTGTCGGCATATAGTACTTATTGTTAGACTCTTTGTCCCGTCGGTGACCATTTATTTGATTCAATCGTTGTAAGCCATCGCAGTCTTGGATTATCACCGCAAATGGCGACAGAGTGTCCTCCGAAGTCAACAACTTTTTCTCTTTGCCGAGAAATGCCTTAAATTCCCAAAACAGGAAACTAATGATTGTTAACAAAACTAAATTCAGGTACTCTTTGTCATCGGAGTCGAGTTGGGAGCAAAGGACTGGCAGACAACCTGCAGATACATGTGTGGGAGATATTGCGTTATATATGAATACAAATGCAATAAAGGGTTTAATTCATTCAATATAGTAAACAACATTAATAGTCACAAGGTAATTCTGTGGGAAAGAATAAACATATTTCTACCATGATAAAATATGACCTATCATAATATGTCCTATCATAAAATATAACTTATATGACATACCCTTAGCTAATGGCGTCAACTGATCCTTAACGTCGGCATTATATGCGGTCACAAACATTGCATTGACGGCACATCTCTTGACTTTTAGTGATTCGTTGCTTTGAATCAAATTATAGATCAAATCAATGATATTTTTATCAATTAAAATTAATCTAGTAACTTTATCCGACATTCATTATCACGTTTTACGATTTAAATAAATTCAAATTTGTTTATATAATGTATATGCACATATATATACACAGTATATCAATACATATGCATAATGGTAACATCTCAGCACGTAGTCAATGATATATTATAAATGTTTTTAAAAACAACTTGTTATGATTTAATAACGTTTTTAATATGATTCAAAAAAAACAGATGTAACACAATATCTCACTTATTTCAGTGCAAATATCATCATATCATCTCAAAGTACAAATTTGCCTATTTATTAAATCATCAATTTTAGACACAATATGTGCAATCATTTCGTAAGACTTCGAAGCATCCAATGATCGGTGGGAGAGGAAAGGGATAGCAAACGGAAAACATTGAAGATATACAGTGTATATCAGTGACAGTCACTACTCAATCCTTTCATACAGAATAAGCATAGCTTATTATGTAACGACTAGCAACTACAGTACCTCTTTTTTCTATCAATTTCTCAAATTTAAATATCATTACATCACATATTGAATTTGTGGGACAGCTATGATCTGGATTGGTTAGCGTGAGAATAGTGGGACGTCTATCAAAATTAAGGATAGGAACACCAATAAAATATTACGTATAAAAACCAGAATCAGAATCAATTTTTCACCAAAAATTAATAGACAAAGTGTTTTCAACTAATAAAAAAAGCCAAATAACTATTAAAAATAAATCTCGTATATAAAACTAAAGCAATTTTTACCATCTCTTGTAAGCACTGATGAACTCAGTGTAGATCGAAAACGTTTGGCTAATCTATTATTTTTTTATACCTTTCACTCATTAATAAAATAAGTTATTGAAACAAAACTTTAATTTAAGCGATTTTTATATAATAATTAAAATAATTAAGCAATGGCTTACATAAAAAGGGATCCCTTTCCCATCAGTGATCTAATAAAGTCAAATAAGGACAAGATCCAAACAAATCTGGATGACTTTAGTAACGCTAAAGTCGAGTCAAAGTTTCATCAATTGAAGCATGAATTGAATATTAACGGTAAATACAAAGAAATTTTATTTTTGTAAACTAATTCACGTTTGTATTACTAGACGAATACTCTATAAACCTAAACGAGTTTAAAGGGAAAGTCTTTCCCCGACTCTGGGAACTGTTGTCGACTACCAGTGCTCTAATGCTGTTACAACTCATTCTCTACAACGACTATAAGACCCAAAGATCACAACTAATTAAGAGTGCTTTGAAGGCATCATTGGTCCCGCAATTGGTTAACATTTATGAGACAACTCGAGACATACAAACCAAACAACTGGTTATTAATCTGTTTTCCGTATTCTGTCTGTCGTTTGAAAGTAATCCAAAACTCCGTAAACATGTCCTCAATAACAATGTAGTCATCGATTCAATATTAAGGTGAGTGTTGTATTATATTAATTTACATAATTTTTACATATAGTAACTATTTTTATAATGTGTTTATAATATAAAATAAACATATATTTTTGGGCGTAATTCTAGTCAAACGGATGCCGCAACTGATGGCAACGAATTCATTAAGGATTCACTTCTAACAATCCAATGCTTAATATACTATTCGCCAAACTTTGAGACAACATCTCAAGTGTTGTCTCCTTTAATGAATTTATTAAAACATAAGGACTCTGTCATTATCAGCGAATCCTGTTATGCACTCTTCATATTCAGTGAACGGTTCCCAAAATCGCGACAATTATTAATCACATCCAATGCAATGAAAAAAATACTGAACCTATGGGTGGATAATATTGATGAAGAACTCATAGTTAAGCCTATATTCGGTTTAATTACAGGCATTTTAGTTCGTTTGCCACAACATAAGACTGTACTATTGGGTGATGATATCGATATCCTGCGGATTATGCCAAAGTTGGCGAACTCTAACCAATTGAATAAGATTTATGCGACTTCTTTAATCAAATATATTGCTATGAAAACGGCGTTCAGTACTCAACAGTCAAAGCCTACGAAAGAAATACAGCTTTTAATTGATAAAAATATCATTGATTTGATCTATGATTTGATTCAAAGCGACGAATCACTAAAAGTTATATTGCTATGAAAACGGCGTTCAGTACTCAACAGTCAAAGCCTACGAAAGAAATACAGCTTTTAATTGATAAAAATATCATTGATTTGATCTATGATTTGATTCAAAGCGACGAATCACTAAAAGTCAAGAGATGTGCCGTCAATGCAATGTTTGTGACCGCATATAATGCCGACGTTAAGGATCAATTGACGCCATTAGCTAAGGGTATGTCATATAAGTTATATTTTATGGTAGAGTAGAAATATTTTTATTGTTTCTCACAGAATTACCTTGTAACTATTAATCTTGTTTACTATACTGAATGAATGAAACCGTTTATTGCATTTGTATTCTTATATAACGCAATATCTCCCACACATGTTTCAAAGGTTGTCTGCCAGTCCTTTGCTCCCAACTCGACTCCGATGACAAAGAGTACCTGAATTTAGTTTTGTTAACAATCATTAGTTTCCTGTTTTGGGAATTTAAGGCATTTCTCGGCAAAGAGAAAAAGTTGTTGACTTCGGAGGACACTCTGTCGCCATTTGCGGTGATAATCCAAGACTGCGATGGCTTACAACGATTGAATCAAATCAATAGTCACCGACGGGACAAAGAGTCGAACAATAAGTACTATAAGCCCACACAAGAGGAACGGCGAGTCGAGGAGATAATGGCGCTGGCCTTTCACATGGAGACCCGACCCCTGGAGCGGAAACAGTCCGTATATGTTTTGTACACTTTTCCAGGAGTTAATATCAAGGTAAAACAGCAACAGTGTTTGGGCTGTAAGAAAGAGATGGACCCCCAGAAGAAGTTTGTGAGGGCCGACACCACCATATTCTCGTGCAAACACCTCAACCTTTGCAAGGGGTGTGCCGTCAAAGGGGTTACCAAAATGTATAACCAAGAGTCAGATCTGCCCACATGTAAGTCATACAAATGTGGTGGTGGTATACCTGAAGACATACCATGGATGATGTTTGTTGATAGTATTGTTGGTTATGTAAGTCATATTGTATGCAATTATATGAATTATGATTTATTAGTTGTGTTTCTATTTGTTTGTTTCATTTAGTACTTCGAACTTAAGTCTCGAGTTGAACAACAATTTGAAAATATTGATTTTATTAAATTGAATAAATAAACATTTTATTAACTAATATTCTTTAAGTTTATATTTAACATAAAATACTTTTACTATCATATATAATATGAATACTTTTATGAATATAAAGAATTTAGTTTAATCTTAAGAGTTATTTGTTTTTGTTATTTTGCGTTCATAATAATTATAACAAATATAATTTATTTCCACATTTTATTAATCAATAAAAAATCATATAAATATATCTATTCCGGTAAATCTACTGAATAATTATAAAAATAAAATAATGCATTTCACATAATATCTATTCATTTATGAAGTGTTTATGAATTTGATAATTGGTTTCTTTTTGGTGACATTTCTAGAGGTTTGCGGCACCGGTAGTATGCCGTCTACTGACACGCTATGATCACTGCGAACACCACTGAACCGTTCATCGATGGTGTGGTAATTGGTCTCCAATTGGTTGACATATCTTTTCAAGACAACGCTTTCAATGCAAACACACTTCGACTGCAACTCTAATAAACATTTTCTATAGTTTTGCATAAATTTAATGCATTTCTGACTCGACTTTAATTCACTTAAAAGGCGTCTATTTTCAGACAATATCTCTTCGATCACATCATTAATGGCGATCACATCCGACACACCAGTCCCTGATCCTGATGACTGTGTCCAACGCCTAATCTCGTGGTCTGTTCCCACCACTGACTCGTCCATGTCTTCGTCCATGTCTTCGTCCAAGTCTTCCACTCTTAACCTCTTTTTTCGTTCATTTGGTCCGAGTTTGCTCTCATCGATGAACTCTTGCTTCAAGTCTTGTGGACACTCCAGACATCTAATGATATGTCTCTTGCATTTGGGGGCATGTCTTAGCTGTTGATTACCGCAGTGGACACATTGAACTTGCTCAGTTCTACCACTTCCACACACGTGTGTCCATTGAGACCAAATTGGATCCGCTTTTTTGCCCATTGTTTACACAATCTTAGGCCTCAATCACAGGACAAGGATCACAGATAATGACCGCAAATACTGGTCACAAGAGTTACCACCTCTCCAGTGAATCTTAAGTCAATCATTTGGACCACAATTTCATAAATTTATCACTTGATATGACATACGAGCGATCAGTTCCCGATGACGGTGTCTTGAGGTAACCACTGATTGGGTTAATAGTGAGCACATATGGTCTAACCATTTGTAACACTATTACTACGATTACTATAACTATAATCACATGAACTGACAGTTAATTCACAAATTGATTGCAAATTTCAATTCATGTTAACAAAACCCAACGCAAAAAGTGTTTCAAAATGTTTGGAATAACTTTTGCTCGAAAATTACGCCAAAAATGAAGTGAACTTGATTTACCTTGCAGCAAGGTCCTTGCTTGATTAGAATAGCTGTAATTTACAACCTATAAAATATTATTATACCTGGCTAATCAAATGCATACTAGGTTAACTTCGTTTTAATAGTTACAATTTAATTAATAGTATAGATAATAGGTTTGTTTCATAGTACTATCATACATGTATTAAATATCATACTACAGTAATGATAAACTCATAAGATATCCTAAGTGTCGTTTTAGTTATAGTTTCGAAAATGAATACTGTATTAATTATGTGAGCATTTTAATAAAGTTTATTATTTTAAAAGTAGAATCCAGGTAATAATTAAGTTATTAAAGTAGAACGAACTATTTTTTCATATGAGATAATTAAAAATTTTAATTTATAATGGTACTTGCAAAATTACGATTCTAATATTCAGAATTTTTATTTCGTAAAATTAATCCCTAATAAATAGAAAATCTGTTTGAGACCAATTATAAATTACATATATTTTGTTTTAATTATGTAAACTTTATTTTAAAAAAGATTCACAAATATTTATTTAATTGATCACTTCACTTTCTCATGGTTTATAATCTAGTAATTTTATCCGGCATTTATTATCACTTTTTACGATTTAAATAAAGTCCAAACTTGAAACTAATTAATTCAAATTTGCTTATATCAATCAATACACATGCACATTGGTAACATTTAAGCACGTAGTCAATGATATACTGTATTATAAATGTTTTTAAAAACAACTTTTTATGATTGAATAACGTTTTTGAAAACCGTATGATTCACAGAAACAGATGTAACACAATATCTCACTTATTTAAGTGCAGATATTAACATATTATCTCAAATACTCAAATCAAACGTTATTGAAATGAAACCTTATAAATATTTATTTATGAAGTTATCAATTTTAGACACAATGTATGCAATCATTTCGTAAGACTTTCCGAAGAGTCCAAAGATCGGTCGGAGAGGAAAGGGATAGCAGACGGAAATCATTGAAGATGTCACTCAGTGACAGTCACTCATCAATCCTTTCAGACAGAATAATGCACAGCTTATTGTGAAGCGACTAACAACTACAGTACCTCTTTTTTCTATCAATTTCTCAAATACAAATATTACATCATACATTGAATTTGTGGAACAGCTATGATCTGGATTGGTTAACGTCAGAATAGGGGACGCCTACCAAAATTAAGAATAAGATAACCTATAAAATATTTCTTATAAGAAACCAGAATCAGAATCAAATTTTCACCACAAATTAATAGACAGAGTTTTCTCAACTAATAATAAAGCTAAATAACTATTGAAAATAAATCTCGTATATAAAACTAAAGCAATTTTTATATAATAATTATATAATGATTTACATAAAAAGAGATCCCTTTCCCATCAATGATCTAATAAAGTCAAATAAGGACAAGATCCAAACAAATCTGGATGACTTTAGTAACTCTAAAGTCGAGTCAAAGTTTCATGAATTGAAGCATAAATTGAATATTAACGGTAAATACAAAGAGATTTTATTTTTATAAACTAATTCTCGTTTGTATTACTAGACGACTACTCTATAAAACTAAACGAGTTTAAAGGGAAAGTCTTTCCCCGACTCTGGGAACTGTTGTCGACTACCAGTGCTCTAATGCTGTTACAACTCATTCTCTACAACGACTATAAGACCCAAAAATCACAACTAATTAAGAGTGCTTTGAAGGCATCATTGGTCCCCCAATTGGTCAACATTTATGAGACAACTCGAGACATACAAACCAAACAACTGGTTATTAATCTGTTTTTCGTATTTTGTCTGTCGTTTGAAAGTAATCCAAAACTCCGTAAACATGTTCTCAGTAATAGTGCTGTAATCGATTCAATATTAAGGTGAGTGTCGTACGAATTTACATAATTGTTAAATTTATATATTATAACTAGGAATGACAAATGATTGAGTTTATTATGTGTATTTATATGTATTTATGTGTACGTACTGAATGAAAGAAAATTGTATTCATAGTTTACAAGTAATCTATTAGTAATAATTGTTGTTTGTAAAAATCTCATCAAGTGAATTTAATTCATGGTTCTCAATACTTGAAAGATTAAGCTTGTAAAATTTGTCGTATAAACCAGTGAAAACTGACTCATTCTTGAAGTCATCCCGGGATATACTTTAAATATGAGAGAATTCTAAATTCATTAGTTTTCATTAAATGTTTCAGTGATACAAAAATAATTTAAAAATAATATCTCTCTTATAATGAAGTTAAAATATACATATCTATATAACTATTAACTTTTCTAGATTTTACTGTAAAATTAACTGTTTAAACTCAACTAAATAGTATCCTCATACCAGATGAATGTAGTACTCGGTGATATAATATATTATATCGCATATTAATTAAACTAGATAACATGGTAGTTTTAACTCAAAGTTTTCCAAAATTTATCATGTAGAATTCATAGGGTTTCACACAATTTTCAGTAATTTTTCTGCCTGCTAAATACAATAGAATTAATTATTTTAAAGTGTTATCTGGATTATATTAGGTCCAATGATTACAAAGTTAGAAACATTAATGTGAAAATTTGGAATATTATTAATGCATTGAAATTCTAAAACGCATTTTGATTTTACGTTGATTGAATTTTTAATATTGAAAATCTCTTGAAAAATGAACAAGATGGAGTAATTTTTAATTTGCCTCAAATTTAACCAAGATACTAAAAATCTTGTAGAACCCCATGTATTCTCTATAATAAATTCTGTATAATTATATGTATTTGTATTTATATGTATATGTATTTATATTTCTACTTATAATTCACTGCAATGAATTTGAATAGCTGGGCATTCATAAAATTGAGTATGTTTTGACTGGTATACACCTAGATATTTTTGCTAATTTACTTGCTAAAGGTAAAAATATAAAATTATAATAATAGTGGTCAAGTAAGTTTTGAATTAAATACAAATATTTCATACAAATTAATGTAAACTCAAACCAAACTATACTTTTACTGATAATTCAATTAGAAAATATGAATCTGTTTACGGAAAACAACCCTCTGTTGTAAGCATAAAAACTATATAGCAATACATACACTAACTTTGAATTATTTTATAAAAAAGGTTTATCACACGAATTTAAACATAATTTTCATAATTCTAAAAACTACAGCATGTGTCATATTATTTACTAAGCTTGTACTAATTTTGAATCATTAATAATGAATATTTTTATAAAATTATAAAATAAAATAAATTAAATCATGGTTCTCAATAGTTGAAAGATTAAGCTTGTAAAATTGATCGTATAAACCTAGATATGAATCTGTTTACGGAAAACAACCCTCTGTTGTAAGCATAAAAACTATATAGCAATACATACACTAACTTTGAATTATTTTATAAAATTGATATTTATTTTTCTAACAATTATGAAAAGGGATTTATATGAATCTGTTTACGGAAAACAACCCTCTGTTGTAAGCATAAAAACTATATAGCAATACATACACTAACTTTGAATTATTTTATAAAATTGATATTTATTTTTCTAACTTAATACTTTTCCCTAAGTTTTGATTAAATAATTTAACACTAAGTTTAAGAAATTTTCTTAATTAATTAACAAACAGACTTCGTTTTGTGAGCTGATAAAGATTTGTTTTTTAGTTACTACATAATTGTCTTGAAAAATATTTAAAACCAGAAAATGAAAATTATTTTTCTAACTATTTTTCTAAGTTTAACGATAAATAATTATAAAATATTTATTAATCAAAATATAAAATAAAATGTTATGAAAATTATGTTTAAATTCGTGTGATAAACCTTTTTTATAAAATAATTCAAAGTTAGTGTATGTATTGCTATATAGTTTTTATGCTTACAACAGAGGGTTGTTTTCCGTAAACAGATTCATATGTCCCGAAAATCAATGTAAATTCACTACAAATGAATAATGTTTGTTAATGACTAATATTTTATTTAATGGTAAATCTTTTAACTATTACCAACATACTAGGGACAATAAAAGGGTTCAATAAAATTTTAAGTATGTAACAAATGAGTGGGGAGGGGTGGATAAGGGTTTGTATCATATAAAAGCTCAATTAATAATATCTATCTATTTAGAGTCTAAATAGGGTTGTGAATTAATATATTGTAAATTTTTTATATGTATTTTAAAATGACTCAATAGAATATATAAAATATGGTTCTTAGAAATATGTTGAGCTCTTAAACATTAATGATAATGTCACACAATAACCTAAATGTCCTAGTTATTTCAAAAAGAGCACTAAGTTCGTTAGTAATTAATAATATAGCCTTTATTTAAAAATTACTTATACTGTATAATAATTCACAACCACATAAGTGCATTTACACTTAAAGATCGTATAATCAACTAGGTCAAATAAGTGACTAAATCGGAACCATCGTGAAGTGAAAGTAAATTGAGTGGTTATTATTGCCGTGATTTGTTTGCCAGTAACATAATTAAAATTTTATTGAACCCTTTTATTGTCCCTAGTATGTTGGTAATAGTTAAAAGATTTACCATTAAATAAAATATTAGTCATTAACAAACATTATTCATTTGTAGTGAATTTACATTGATTTTCG